CTACGGCTCTTGTACTTATGGCGGCAAACTAATGGTAGGAAGAATAGCGTTACCAAAGAGATTTCACCGGGTCTACTAGCTCAGCTCACTGTGCACTACCCATTGCCTCCATACTCCTGATATGGCAACCCTCAACAGGCCACACCATGATCATTCCTCCCCAATGGCTGTATAAAGTGTGGTTGCCATTAAAGTTTTATTTAAATGTTTATAACTTCACTAAACCTTTTTATATAGGTTTTCTACACATGAGAGAATACCTGGTCCAAAATCTTCTTTTCTGTCCATTCCATAGTGATATCTTCGGCTTCAGTGTAGTTTCCACTACTTTCGTATGCACCTTCATCTTATCCCCAGCAAGCTTACCTTTAAACAGTAGGTTTTGGACACCTCTTCAAGTTTATTTTTTGTAGTCAGTACAGTGAACTCACCTACATGTATCATGGTTGACATACTTCTGCGTAGAATTTCAGTGCTCCTGTTTCGAATTTCCCCTGCCACTGGCTTTTGTTATTCATTTTTCAGGCTTGCCCAACCAGTCCTTCATCCATGTGGAATCCTGGCAGTATAATTTGTCAGCGTGCACTATGCCATCTAGACCTTATGACGAACTCATAGGGCTCGAGGTTACAGCTGTGCCACCCACCCTACCCTCAAGAATATTGAAAGATTCAAAAAACAGCCGAATAATTCCCACTTTCGAGCTGGGCCTGCTTCAGTATGATGGACAACAATAATAATAATATAACTTTTTCCCGAATCTATGCTGGTGTTTATCTGTCTCATTCTCTGCTGCCTACAAAGCATTGACATTCTTTATCCAGACGCATCTGTTACGCACCGGGAAAACGATGTCCATTGCATAGCTTGACATTACACATAACAGTCAGTTCACATTACCAAAATGGTCACACCTGTAAATCGGTTCGTTTCCATGTAACTTATGTTGTATGAAATGTATTGTTACTATTATGAAGGACGCTCGAGAAACCATGGCGTAGAAGGCTGTAACTTATCTGGATCGCGTTAGCTGGGTTCCCTCGAACTGTTTCTTCTGTTCAGACCAAAACACTTGGATTTTTCCGGTACACAATCCCTTCTTACACTTTTGTAGTTGCCTCTGTCATTCGGTAATTTATTGCTTGACAAAGTTGCATTGGATATTGCACTCGGTTCCCTTTGAAATGAAAGTGTTGATGGCCTCAGTGTCCAAAAAATATTATCTGCGGGAAAGAATTCTGTGAGACGAAGACGTCTGAATATTTCCGCGAACTGATTTACCACACTTTCTTAATAGACTATTAGCTTTCTTTACAATAAGGGCAGTAGTGCCTACGGCTCCTGGACAATACGTTTGAGACACGTAGGTCATAATCCTATGTTCCTGGTTTTGAAACCAAAGGAAAATTGATTTATATAAAATAAAAATATTCGTTCGTTGTTCTAGTGGGGTCGGTATGGTGTGGATCAAATACACTCGTGAGCCAGAAGCTGAATAACAACGCGGGCATGATCGCAAGACCTGTGGATAAGTTTGACACTGAGTTAGGATAAAAACTGTGTAGATAGTTCAGTCATCTTAGATGTGTTGTGAATACTGGGGGAATAAAGCTCTGAGCTGAGGCTACGTCACACACATTTCAGTCTGGACAGCAAGATGGTGTCATGAGTTTTCAAACAAGTGCAGCTCACAGTTTGCCGTACAAATCTAAGATAGGTCAGGTTAAACGAAAATCCATTTTCTGATGTTTACGCCTTGCGAGTTTGTGTAACAAGTAACAAAATGTAGTGTCGGGGGTGCGTTTTATTGATATGCGAATCGTCAGAATACCATAAGAAATTTCTGGAAGGGACTCGAGGCTACTACGGAGTCACGAAAAGCAACACATTCCTTTTTTATACGGTCGTTCCCATGACGTTAACAACCGAGGGGACATGTGCATTCATGGGTGTTGACGTACTTACATACGTTTGATATCAGAGACAGAGAAATGTTTTCTCTCTCCCAAAGGGGTGAAGCGGATTAGTTAGTTTCCATCTGGGTTCCTGTGACTTCCTCTTCTCGAAGCACGGTAAGATCTCGCGAAACCAGCAGAAAACAATATCTATTAAGAGACTAAGTAAATAAAACAGGAAGCCTAATGTTCGTGAGAATTTCTCTATCGTCAATCGATGTCACTTTATGCTGACGTGGTTCAGAGTTCAAAATAATGTGGTGTGCCGTAAAAAGGCATTCCATTTAATCACATCCTTCTACAATAATATTATCGTCTATAATGCAGCCTGAATAACACGTAGTTATGACTCTTGGACAATGACCCACATGCTTCAGGCTTTATGTCCACATCCTTCCTCCAAAGTGGTAAGAAGCGGCAAAACGATAGAAACTCTAACTTCCGGCTAACACTACATGGAACGTGGCGGTAGTCGACTATTTTCAATGGCCACGGTCATTTCTATGCCGTGGCGTGAGACACTATCACAATTTTTAACTGGAGATATGAATAACTCTCCGTCAACTGAAGCACAGAAAGCAACTGGTGATTACTGCCTCCCTAGCTAAAAAGGTGGTCATACAAGTCGCAGATTAGTGGCGGAATTCCAGCAGTCGCTACCTTAGAATAAACACTATTCAAAGGTGAAATCCGGACGGAAGAATGTAGTAACTTTAGGACGAAATGAAGACAGCATGAGAGCAGAAACGCGATCGAGTTAAACAAATGAAATACCGACCAGTAAATTTTATGAAACATTAGTTTCGGGGCAGTCATGATTGCCCTTACCTTTCCGCCCTGCAGCTGGCTACTTTTCAACACCACTTAGTTTCTCAAACTGCTGTTAGTATGTGACTTAAACTATCTTGAGATCAGTTAACCTTACAAACTGTCTCAAGTCTGACCACTATGGAATGAGAGGCTACTAATAGGCCAGTAACCAATTCTTTCTCTAAAGAGCCCCTCGAAAAATTCTTGATAAATGATGAAACCTGTATGTGAAAAGCTCCAGTAAGCCGGTTGCGAAATATTGAGAGAAAAACGGCCGACCCCATAATCCGGCCCTCATTATGACGCCTCTATAAGTTTGACCGGTTCTAAGCAGGCGACTACAAGGAGATGTTTCATTATGAGCAAATGTCAGACAGCTAGCCAACCTAAAGGCTCTGGAGCCGCATGAGTATTGGTTTCTTCAGACTATTATTCGTGAAGAGTGGTGCGGTGAGTGCCACTCATGAGGAAAAACGTAGATGGCATGCACTGTGATAATCTCCCGAAAAGCAGCTGGAGCCATTATCAAATCGGTAGTGTCTGAAAGAGGATTCGAGAGTTAAAGGGAGGAAATACAGAAGGCAAGTGAAGTGTAACGGGTACTGAAGATTAACTCGTCTCGGACTTTAGCACAAAGTTTGCTCGACTTGTGGTTTACATATTCTTGCAAGAATGAGCATATTTTCCAACCGACAGTTTTATCGTTCGTCACAAACCTACCTACTACAATAGTACCATCAAAACAGGATACATGAGGTCGATATATTACAATGCAACATGAGTGTTCAGAGGCCACTCAAGAGGACCTCCAAATCTCACCGACAAGATAGAAATGAAGTAAGCGCTTCACCACCACCGCTTGTTTCACCTTACCTCACTAGATGTGTGCCCAGAAAAATTATTCTCTTATGGCTGAACAGTTCAAATCAACGGAAATTTTCGGATCAAATTGAATACTTATAAGCACTTATGTTGTTCATTGGTATATTTCGGTGCTTCACGACACCACTCTGTTAGATGCTGCTGATGATATTCACTCCCACATAAAGAGTCATACACAATTTTCACGGGCACGAAGTGATTTCAATGGAAACTACTTTTTTAGCAGCTCATTCCACTCCTCGCCAATGTGAATCCGGAAGACGTTCGCTAAGTGTCATTAAAATGAAGCGTGGCAGAAGAATCAGTATGTTCAAAATGACACGATAGATTAGTCAAAGTATCTTCTTCAAGCTAAAAAAACTTGAGCTTCTATCTAAGAATAACAAGTGTCGCCTAGAAAAAAGGGCCTGAAGCTAATGATTCTATTGTAACACCTGTTATATATTGCTCAGTAATAATGATGAGAAGTTCGCTGATGTATATATGCTTGTTATTTGATATTTACTGTTCTTAAGTGAATGCGGAAGCGTAGTGTTCGTGTATTCTCATTCTTTTTTACATCAAAGAATGGTAATCTTACAGAATGCTATGACTGATTGCCAAACATCTGACACTTTCAAACGAATGTTCGGTAAGTACATGTGCACGAACAGCATACCACCAGCACACACTGGCTGCAACTAAACGTGCGTTTACTTTTTCTCCCGCCACTCGCACTGCTAACGCTATATCCCAAATATTACTGGTAGTGAGATACTCTCCAGAATTAAATTTGTTCCTTCTCTTTTCCCCTCCACTTGGGCTGTCTTTCTCAGTACTTTTCGAGTAGATCTGAGTACTTACTTACAGAGAGTAGATGATTACCTCATACGAAAACTCCACTGCTGCTCCAAATAAAGCTGCCCACAGTAAGCAAACGAAAACCTTCAGGTAAATGATGTACACCCATAAGCTACTAACAGGTAAAATGAAAATAAACTGGTGACCAACGAAGAAGAATAACCGAGTAAAAAGAACCAGGTTTGAAGACCTAGACGCGATAGCCCAGGAATTACAAGTTTCTTTCATTCATACTATTGGTGCTGGACTTCCAGTCTGAAACGAAGACCTGCATAGTGATTTATCACACATTCTCCCTCCCTCGTGAATGATTGTCAAAAACAACATAAAAAATCTAAAGTCCCAGTGGACTAATCTTTAGGCCTACTGTTGGCCCACAGTGATCAAAAGTTGTAAACTCTGTTCATCCTATTGAAGACTAAAACGGTGTGAAGTTAAGTCTACTACTTTTCTAGGTCAGTGATTTGACACCAATTCAAATTTCGCATATGACCTCCGTTAGCCTTGTGAATCATGGGGACAGTAGATGATCAGTTTGTTCTCACTTTTCGTTTGTATTTTATTTTATTTGATTAGAAAGTTCCCAGATCGCGGATTTAGGAAGCCAGAATTTGTTGAATTAGATGAATATTCTGACTTCGTTCAGGCATATGAATCCGTTTTACAGAGGAGAATTTCTAGGTGGGAACAATATTTCTCTGCCTTGCCTTCAAAAAGGAGTTCCAGATGTTTGTTTTAAATTATTCAACACAAACCTTTAGTGAAGAGATTCTGTCGGAAGGGGATACCCGATCACATTCGATCAACAGTATGGATGCATCTTTCCGGAGCACTTGAACGAATGGAGGCAAATCCTGATGTTTACTGCACAGCAGTTGTACAGAGGCCACCACCGAGTATTATGAATGTTATTCTGGCAGGTGGGCTAGTATTCACAGATATTTTTCAGTCCAATTTTCATGCCTAGTTTCGTATGTCCATCCAATATCTAATGTTGATAGTGCCAGCTTAGAAAACTGATCGTTTTTGTTCTTGCACGTCTAGTTCTTAGAGCTTAGGCCCATCATTAGAATCCATTTTCAAAAATACTTTCAGGTAACAGTCTTGCAACATTTCATATGCCGTGAGAAGTTGAAGGTAGCAGCTAATGGATTAAGTTTTAGTGAATGCAAATATACTTGTCATGTGTACTTGCTTCAACCATTTAAAAATCGTCATCTTAAGGTCTCATATCCAAGTTATTTTGGCAGTTGTAATGAAATAAAAAATATGACTAACTTTTCGTTCTCCCAACCGTGACATAAAATTTAGCCAGTAATGTGAACACTTATTTTATGAAGGTTGTGTTGCACCCGCTTTATTTAATGAGGTTAATCACTGATCTTCGCTTTATCAAAACGTATTCAGAAGTAAAATTGATATATGGACCTATGTGTAGTTATTCAAATACATCCTACTGGATTTCCTTGTCTTACAATGTCCATGTATTTTAGGCTTGTTGAATTGTAAAACATGTATTGCACCTAATGTTTATCTGTCATATTATGTGGGGAGTATGCAGACTTCCATCAAAGGTCTCAGTCACTGTGAATCACTAAACTCATCAGAGCTGCGGCAGAATGGCTTTCAAATGTAGCTTATTTTGCTTTATATCGTTTTTTTTCAGTTTTAAGGCTTTGTGAAACTTTCATTACATTATTTGCATCTGTTTTCTTCCTATCTGGTTACCTTGCATTTTATGCACTGATTAAGATGTAGTAGCTTAGATGAATACACAGTTGTTTGTCTGCCGTGACTATTGGTACTCTCTTTCAGATGCGCTTTTATTTTCTTTCTGTGCTATCTGGTGCCCCTAAATGTATACGTTTTCTATTTTCCACTAGAAATATACTGAATGAAAATCACACCTTTTAGTGTGCACAGTCTTCCTAAGCTTAAAATTGGCTAAAACAAATACTCATCTGCTTTGAGGTTGATTAATGTTACGTCCTTTTAGGTTGCGTAGACACCACCTTTTCCAATTTACAGTTCTCATTCCTAATTAGCCAGATACATTGTAGTGATGAAATCAGTCCCTTTCATTATATCGAATTCAGTTACTTCACACTTCAGCAGAACCGCATTGCCAATGAAAATTATAACGTCTGTGCCAATTGTTAGCCAAGCTTATTATAATCTTCATGATGGGATTCTAAGGTTACATAAACTTCATATAGACTCCAGAAGCGTAATTTGCATTCGAGTTAGCCACATGCAATTCACGATAATATTTTGAAACCAGTCATTCGTACATTTTTAAGTTTGAATTATCCCCAACTTCTATCACATCTGCTTAGCGTTCGACATTAGATTTGTATTACTGAATGAAGCATGGTCACTAGTAAAATCAGATATCCGAATATCATTATAAACCCAGCATATATTGACGTTAAGCATGTGAAGATATGTGAGAGGTATATGATCGATGTATCATGTGGTTCAAACGAGGTTACAAAGGTTTTCAGCTTCTGGTTTGCTTTGGTTTTGTGTGTAGACATTTTAGTTGAAGCCACTTGCATATGGTGTAATTAGTTGCTTTTTGGTTTTGCTTTTTGTAAACTTCAAACCTTAAGTGGCCATAGGTGGTCAGTGCTTCATTTATCCCTTGCTTTTATGTTTCCATATTCCTTCTAATCTCTTCTCTGCAGGTGACTAAAATTCTAATCTCTTGCCAAGTTTTTCCTTGGATTTTCACGGGACTGGCGTTATATCATCCAAACTGATTTCTAATTGTTATATCATCAAGTTTATTAGTGCGATATTAAGAACTTCACTTTTATTGGTTAGAGTGCTGATAAATTAGTACTGTAGAGCCTCTTGGAGAATGCTCACAAAATAGAAACTACTGACTGATGAAATTTGGGTTAATAACGTCTCACAAAGACTGAAATCCTGATCACTGACTCATCATGTTACTGAATCGTATGTTTAAGATAAGACGGTCACATATACACATAAAATCTGAAAATTGAATACTGAAAGAGTTGTGATAGTGGGTGAAACTTTTTGACTGCTCACACCGTGGAAGGCTGGTTCCTTTTGTGGTATATGAAAAAAAGGAATAGGGCATGGCGGCAGAGCCCAAGGGGCATCTGCCTGAGACCGGTCACACATTGCCGTTTTCAAAGTTTGACAGTTCATTTTGTCTTTTGCAAATTCAACTATTAACCTGTATTACCTGCACTGGTATGCTGTGGAGTAAAAGAGAGTGTGCTATTTTTAGGGCCGACGTTTTCTAACTGGCTCCCTTTAGATAAGGGAGGCAGTGACAAGATGCGGCTGCCAGTCATCCGCGGGAAGCATCCCAATGCTATCGCACCCCTGTCCAGCCTGCATTACGACTTCGCCCTTGAACTCCCCATCATAACATACCAGTTTACACTATAACAGTAATTGCTCTTTATCTTACCACTATCCAGCTGACCTTTCTAGGATGGTAAGGCCTCAAAGGAACAGGTGTTCCACCAGCATACTTTGTTGAGTCATTATGATATACAAGCTCAATCACGATGTCAAGGTAGCAGCTATAGGTCGGGACACAAGACATATGTGAAATGCTATGTTCACAAAAGTGGGTTCAGCCTAGAAGAAAGTTAAAAGCAACTGGAATAAAGTGATATCAGTTTACCAGCTCTAATTGTTGACCTGAGCCACGTAGGAGAATGTAGATTTTCTGTTTGGGACACACGTGATAACCAAAACCGGTGGTTGAAACAGTAGGCTATCTGGCTTGAACTGGATCTCACTGGCACAGATGCATCCACACATTATCTTCATCCTAATCGTCATTCTGAATTTTGTTATTGTCTTACTCTCCATTTATTCTGATGACGTTTTACGGCTTTTGAATACCTCATTGAATTCATTTCTTGTTACCTTGCATCTTGATCTACTGAAGTCAAGTCTGGCAAGTAGAACCATCTCACAGTATTGGCGGGTCCCATACTGATGTTTATTAACTGACACTAAGCATATAGTCCAAAATAATGTAGGTAGATGTCTGCAAAACAGTAGAAAGGTGTTGTCAGTATTTTTTCGTTGGGAAAAACCCAACAGGTATTGGTGATACGCCACTAGTTAGCTCAGCTTTAGCGACTGCACACAGGTTTGTGCACTAGACAGTGAGTAACATCTCTTTGATTCTGCCTAGCTATACTACTTGCATCTAAATTTTAATGTTATATTAACCGTCATATCACGTTTCGTTGTTGACTGTAACCCATTTGTTAACTTTCTACAACTTTTATTGTTCTGTTTGGATTTTCCCATATTTCTCCTTATTTGCCGTATATCTCAATGTAATAACGTGAGTCTTGGCGAGTTGAGGTGTTACACAGTCCTAGATGCTCATATTAATATTAATTGACAGTTTGGGAACTTGGTAGATAGAGCAGCTCTTGAACACGCATGGCATTTTTGGTTGAATTTTGAATTTGTTAACAAGTGAAGTCACAACTGGATAGTGAAAGAGAAATGATGCAGTATTCACGAAGACTAAGATAAAACGTATTTGGTCAAAGGAGAATATTCTTGTGAACCAATGTTTGCAATAATTTATTTGGTTTGTAACCTAAGATGACGATCATTCGTGCTCTCAGGACTTTCGCGCATGATCATTAACCTTCTGTTGTCAGGCTTCGTGACTTTGTTAGCACATCTTTATGAAAATAATCCTGATGAAGCTTCTCAACATAACGAAATATTTTCAAATGAACATTCTCATTCAGCATTGTTCATTGGTTATCAATTTATCTGTGAATTGGCAACTAGTTCATCTCATGTGCAAGCTTGATAATCACATGTATGTTTATTTTCATGAAGTTTCTAAACAGAAAACTGTAAGTTGGCTAATTCGTGCTATACATAATCTTTAAAAAGGGCTTCAATGAATAGCATAAAAGACATTTTGAATTTGAATAAAAACGAGCGTTAAAGATCATCATCATCATTATCAACATAGGACCAGGCATTACTGCGTAACGGTCCGAGTTGCCACGCCTCATGTCAGTTCATCAAGTAAAAAGGTAGTGAGGTGAAGGATGAAGATAAGTGAATGCACTCAAAAGAAATATAAAGTACGAGAAGAAAGAAAAGAGGAGTGACAAAATGGTGAGATTCGGTATAGTGTAGTTAAGATGAGGATAATGTGTGTTTACATCTGCACCACTGACATCGGTTCTGAGCCATATCACCTAGGGTCTCCAACCACTGGTTCCTCTTGTCCCGCCGACCTAGTCTGCATCGTCCTACCTGGCTTAAACCAACAGTCAGAGACTTCATACATTGGTGCCATGTTTTAGTTTGACCACTTGGGCCTTTTTCCAGCCTGGACCCACCTCAACCAACATTGTGTGACGAGGCAATAGGTGACTAGGCATACGTAGTACGTGTCCCAACCATCTCAGTCGATGAAGGTTCACAACCTCGTCAACTGACTTACCTCTTCTCCCTAAAACTCTACACCTGACTTCTGCATTACGCACGTGGTGACACCACGGAGGACGTCTTATACTACGAAGGCAACAGTGGTCAAACACTCAAAGCCTTCTCATGCCTCCCACTTTCAATGGCCATGTTTCACAGCCATACAGTAGAACAGACCGAACTGATGTGCAGTACATGCGACCCTTAGTAGACAAACGAATATCACGGCGGCGCCATAGGTGGCGCAAATTGGCAAAAGCCAATCGAGCCTTTTGTATCCGTGCAGAAATCTCATCGGCAACTAACCCACCGGGGTTGATCCCACTTCCCAGGTAAGTGAAGTGGTCAATACACTCAATCACTTCACTCTCTATTGTTAGCCGTGGTACCGCTGAAGACCAGTCCTGGAGCAAAAATTTGCATTTGGGTGGTGAAAATCGCATACCAAATATTCTCAAATTCCCACTCAAAGTGTTCAGAAGACTCTGCATCTTGTCATCGTCTTCACCTAACAGGACTATGTCATCTGCATATTCTAGATCTAAAGAACACCAAATAAACTCAAAATTTAGTGTCAATTCATGTAGTCCTTAATTATTGATTTGATTTGTGTAGAAAAGGTAAACGTAACGATTGGGGTCCTAGTGTCAACCAAAGTCGATCCTTCGTGAGTTTTCAGTGATAGTTCTACATCTTTAGAATACTGTTATCATTGTTACTACATACATCTTTTTTCTTGTATGTTTTTTTCACGCTTGTCGTCGCTACTGATACTACCGCTTTCATCTCTTTATCTTCTCTCGTGGTAATTTCCTCTCGTTTCCTGATGTGGGATGTGATAACTTGAACTGAAATGAAGTTACACTAATCCTTAAGCCATTTATACCTATCTGTCTGCGTACAAAACTACAAGAATCTCCCCAATTTCCCATTATTACTCATCAATGAAATATGAATTAGGGAACATCTAAAAGATTAACTAGTTTCAGACTGGTTTTAAAATCCTACGCATCAGTTACATGTAATCATAATCTATCTTTAACTTGGTAGAATTATTGTACGCCCACCTGTTTTCCTGGTTTTGGCTTGTAAAGCACAAAGGCGACCTTAAAAAGCACATATCGATAAATAAAAAGGCAACCCAGCTATGCTATAAATCACAAACTTACTGACTGCCAAAACCTGTGAGTGGAACGTGTTTCGGAACTTATGACCCACTATTCAAAAGTATGGTGTTTGATAGGTCAGTAAGCCAAAACTCATCAACAAGTATGGCACCAACCAAAACCTCGTTAAGTTTAACAAAGAAATCCAAAATGAAAAACCCACTGAAATTGGATAATACTGTGTATTCTTTTAATCCAACTTGTGTAAAGAAACAGGGCTAGCAGTTACCATTCCTCGACGTTCTTTTAAGTGGACGAGATAGTGGTTTTGTCACTGTTTTTTGCACATAAAATCTATCTTTCTATCATGATATAGTTTTGCGACTTTTCACCTCTACGGTATAAAACAAAGAACAATGTGTTTCCGTAACCGAGGCAAAAGCATCTGTTTTGTCTATCATATACAAAGTAAGTCATAATTTATCCGGACTAATTACAGATATACTTACAAACCCTATAGAAATAATAGTTTGTAAGTGTTCAGTAGTTCTCTGACTGAAAACCATCCTTAGGTTATTGTTTTGTTTAAAATACAAAATTGTATTTATAATCTGTTTTATCTAGTGATATATTTCTGGAAATAATTTACCGTCTATTTGTACTCTTGGTGTTCTGGTTAGAAGTGTGATCTGTTAGCTTATGCACCCGATTTTCATCAATAAGTTGATGGCTCGAAGCCTGCCTCACATAATGTTTAGGCACTCAAATACTCTTACCGGCTTTCATGTAAAAGTTGTTTCTTATAACCTATTGCACAAATCTGCCCATGACTACTGAGCTGTAGTTATTAACTAATAGGAGTCCTTTTTTAAGAAAGTGTTACGGAAGAATTAGATGTTTTTATTTGCTGAAGTTTGCCGTTTTGGCTAAGCTGTCCGGATTGTCGGTTTCCAGTCATAATTGAGAACCGTATTTCACTTCCATCTAAGCGATCGGTCATAATTTCAAAACTATAATAAAGTTGTCTGACCGCAAATATTGTATTTTGAGGAAATTAGCGCAAAATATCCCAGATTTTCCCATCGGATTTGTTCAGTATTACTCCTGATCCATAGCCTAATGTGAAGTTTATAAAAAGCTTCACAATTACTGCAAATGTCATTATACTGCGATTCGTGTCTTCCATCTAATAGTTGTTTTCCCCCCGTTTGTTTCAGATGTTCCTCGCACATTTCCAGAAAATGTACATTTTCAAGATACAAACGGGCCTAATAACAAGCTTGTTTCTTTGGAAAGGGTGTTATCAGCTTTCGCAGTCCATTGTCCGAACATTGGCTATTGTCAGGTATGTCATAGAGTTGATAAAGATCTTCCAAATAGCTTCCATCTCATAATGTTTGTTTTCAGCACAAAATTGGCTAATTTATTGAGATTAATGGTAATCTCATACACTTGCATTTTGTTTGAATCACAATCCTGCTTATTTCTCCAGCGTGTTGTGCTAGCTTTGTTAGTAATAATACTGATGAGCATTTTGAAATAGTTATCTTGCTTTAGAGGAACGTTTTGGTCGACTAAAGCTTCTATCATGACGCTACAGTTCTTCTGGATCAGATGTTAGGTTTCGACCCATCGCTATAACTTCCCACCTTTTTTGAAGACATTAGAGAAATTACTTCTTATGATTGAAGGTTTTCAGAGATCCAATACAGTTCGCTTACAAACACAGGAGAACTTTAGATGCTGTCAGCATCTTACACCATAATATCGTTTCCAGTCTAGACAAAGGTGTTAAGTATGTTCGTTTGTCCTTCTTGGAATACTCAGCAGCCTTCGACTCTATTCCTAGACCACTCTTGTTAAATAAGCTTGCTATAGCTCATACTGGGTTACAAAGCGACTGTATTCTTATTTTTCTGAAAGGAAACAGTATACTATCTATGAAGCAGGGGGCTCCACTTCATTGCTTACTGAAGCTGGTTTGCCTCAAGGTGCAGCACTTTCTCTGTTTCCATTATCATTCTTTTTGCACGATTTACTTTATTCTGTTGAAACTAATTTTACTAAATATACTCATGACCTGACGGTGTAAACTCTCAATTAGATTGCTCTAAATTTAATGGGTTCTTGTCTGAAGTTGGCGACTGGTCTCTCTCAAATTGTTTCAAGTTAAACCCCTCTAAGTGTCAGACTGGTAATTTTAGCCTGAGGCGTAAACAAAACTTGTGTAAGCTGCATAAGTCCCATGACGCCTGTTGCATTGATGGTATTTCTGAAGAAAGTAAACCAACTGTTGACTATCTTGCATTGAGTTTTACTCCCAATCTTTATTGGTCGTCTCATATCTTGTTGACTTGTCGAAAAATCTTTTAACGTACTACATAAAGAAACTGAGGCTATATGGTATAGTTCACTGTCTCTACTTATACAATTTATTAATTCCTGCATTTTACCTATTCTTCTCTATTGTTCCATTGATCTTTCCTCGTCTACTAAATAAGGACCATGTTATTATTGCGTAGGTCTCTGAAAGCCGTCAGCAGGGTGAGTGGTGTGGCTCTGGTTCAACTGATTAACACCGTGGTTGATAGACATTTAAATTCCAGCAAACCTCGCCTGGTTAACTAGTTTACTAGTTACTAGCCGGTCCTAAGCCCGGGTAAAGAGGGAAGGTTGGGCATAGGGCTAGCAACCCTACCCCGTAAAACAAATCTAACCGCTAAAGAAACTTCAAAGCACAAACAAAATATAAAAATGAAAACAAACTTATTCCCCGCTGGAATCGGAGAGGCGAAATGACGCCAGTTGGTGAAAGCCTTCGGGAAGCCAATTGGCCGATGTGTCTTCTCTCGATGAAAGCGAAAGTAAACGTGGGGACATGGAATGTCCGCACGATGTTTGAACCCAGCAAACAACTAGCTACAGTAATTTTAATTAACACTGAACCTTCAATTCATTCACAGCTCTCTCCTTGTATTTCCTCTCGGGGAGGACAAGAAGAAACTACATTAGACTGTACGCTCGTACAGTGTTAAGTATAAGAATTCGACTGTACCTTACGTGTGTGGATATTATGTGAGGAGAAGCGTGTTAGAACAGAACTCATATATTCACTTTGTAACAGTTAACAGTCTCATTTCAATAATTCAATTAGCATTGTTAAATTTTCTCGTTATTAATATTCCTTACATTACTTGAATTTTTAAAATAACACAATTGGAAATGTTGTAAGGCAGTACAGATATTCTTTATTGCAACATATAATGCTGAGAATTCCAACTTGTAACAAAAGTCGTTTAGAATAAAGTGATTATTATTATCATTATCATCCATATACTATGAAGTATTCACTAGGAAGGTATATTAGGCTACTCACTTTTGGTGTGAGCCACTACTGTTAAGTAAATATTTACGTTAGGCACTTAACTACCGCACTTTGTGAGTAGAGTGAAATGAAGAAACCGCAGGGTTTAGATGAAAATATTTTTCAAAAGAAATGCGAATTAAATGGGAGTAATTTAATAGGACTTGGTAAGGGATTCTGCAATGAGAAGGTTTTAAAGTCTCGGACACAAATCAGTTGTCAGATTGCAGGTAGTTCATCTAAGTGTTTCGATAAGGGATTAAAGTTTTTTCACTTGTCCAAACGATAAATTGCAACTTTGAATTGTATCGAGTTTTACATTTCTTGGTACACAAACTATCCGGTTTGGAGGTTGATGAACACAGAAAAGCAAGTTGATCGATGGCGTTGTTACGCTGTGTCTTGAACACGCTCAACAGCTCTCTGATTAGGATCAGTTAGATATAAGGCATTAGTGATTAAAAACCTCGATAGTACCACCGGAAGTTGGTCATAATAAAGTAGAGATATCTACGGCATTTTATCAACCACTAATTATCTATTCCTTCATTCACTTGTTACTATATCTTCCATCCATTCTTTTGTGTTGACCTAAAGTACCATGGAGTAAGCTGCTACACCTTTGTGCGGAATTCTGCATTATTCTGTCTGCTTAACTCTGTTCGCTAGGTTTTTTTAACTCAGACTTCATGGGAGATCTCGGCAGTATAGTTTAATTCACTGTGAATAAGTTTATACCGTGCTGTTTACGTTGTGCATGATGCACACAGAGAATGAATTCCGTACAACACATTGTCTGTGCACGATAACCACGCCAGTATAATTATCACTGGTATGCTACGTCTTTCTCACTTTCCACATCAGTAGCACCTATTAAATAGTTGTAAAAAGTGAAAACCAACATTCTAACTCAATCGCCATTGATCGGTCACTGCAGAGTAAACAACTACATATCGTCTATCCTGAGTACCGACTGAATTTTACCCATCATTTTACAGTTTACCTGACATACAGGAGGTCAATGGGGGTTCGAATAACTACGTGACAATGTCTCTAACTGCAGCGTTGGGTGACATGAGTTCGGGTCTCAGAGGGAATATCACTTCCCTCGGGATTGCAGATACAAGTGGTGACAAGCACGAAACATTGGTCAGACAGGGCATTCTGTCGATTGCCTCCATCCAACTAACATCTGTTTCAGTACATTAGAATGGTGTCTCCCCTGTAACCGATTGGTGTGCTGCATAGTCAAAATGATCATATTGAACAGATATACTTTCCAGTGAATCAGTCAGAATCACTTATTTACTCTTTCCTCCTAGTGCATTTCTATGTACTTTCACGTTTACCTGGTAAAAATCGTACTCCGGTCACAGCACCAACTTTATCTGTTGGTGTTTGCGCGGCTCAGTGAAGTTAAGCTACTGAGACGGGATAGTAGTTGTTCTTGTGGAGTTCGAGTTGTTCTCTCGTATTTAGTATCGTTACTTTATTTACTAACATCTTCAATCCCGTTAGTTACTTCAATGTCAGAGAAATCAACTGGTGAAAATTGTTCGAAGTGTCTGTAATTAGCATGAAGTATGCTCACTTCTTTCCTTCTGTATTTTTTAATAATTAGGGAATGAATTATATAGCCGCTGTTCTACTATTGGTTCTGGATTGTCCTTCAGATGAAGCTGAGGTCAAGGCATTTTGGTTATTAGATGCTTTATTCAACCATATCCTACCTAAGTATTATTCGTCTGATATGTTAGCTGTACGCGTTGACTGTATGGTGTTCAATGAATTGTTAAGGTGAGTTAAAAACCATGAGTGCGTTAAATCCTCATCGCTTTTCCTAGTTTTATCGAATGGACATTAACGTGTTGTTGTCTAAAGAAATCCATGCAGGTTTTGGGCTTTGCGCAAAGAAAGAACTTTTTATAGACACAATCAGATATTTTTAGGTTTTCGTAGTATTTCATTGCCCGTATTCACATGAATGGTTGGAATAGTATTACAACATATTACGTCATCTTACAAAGCTTTTTGCTACTGCCGACAGGCCTCGGTTAGTTAACGAATGAAACCTTATTGGTTATCCGCGCTTCTTTTCAGTACATTGTTCTGTAAGCTGTACACTTATACATCAAGTTCAATCAGAGTTAAATCCTCAATATGATTTTTTTTCTACAGTCTTATTTAGACGATATCACTTCTATATTGTCTGCCAATATGTACTGATACTTCATATATCACCAAATGTTCAGTTGCTTAATTGCGAGCTTTTCACACGAGACCTATAAGCATATACTTTCTCCATTTCCCTACAAGCAGTTATATCATGGATATACTTAGTTATCCATGTGACATAAACAAATAAGTGGTGTGTTCCACTCCTACGCTATTGGTTAATTATGACTACCGTCCAGACATTACTAACACCTAGAAGATAGATAAACAGACAGAAAGACAAAATTAACTTGGGGCTTGCTATTACTGCGTGACACTCCAAGTTGCCACATTTCACATCAGTACACTAAGATGAAAGATAAAGGAATAAAGAAAAAAGCAGTCAGGAGTGGTAGAAGTCAGTGAAAGAGAGCGAGGAGGAATGAGAAAGTTTGAAACTCTCTGTACGATTAAAATGAAGGTAATGTATGGATACATCTGTACTATTGAGATCTGTTCTGCACCATATCACCCACAGTCTCGAAACACTAGTTTCTGCTTTCGCGCTAGCCCGTACACGACTTAGGTCAATAACCAAGGTCTTTATGGACTGATGCTATATTTTAGTCTGGTCACCGCTAACCTTTTACCAGCCTGAACTTCAACTAACAATGTATGCAGAGCAGGTGGATGATTAGGCGTGTGTAACACACTTCACATCTACCTGAGTCAATGAAAGCTCATGACCTCATCAGCTGAATTTTTTCTCCTACCTAAAACCCCATACCTGGCTTCCAGAACACGTGAAGTGATCAAGCCCTTAAGCGTTTCACTGACTATTGTTAGACAGGGCACCAACGAGGACCAGTTCTGGAGCAAAACTTTACATTTGGGTGGCGATAAACGCATCCCAAACATTCTCAAATTGTCAATCAAGGTGTTTAAAAACTCTGCATCTTGTCAGCGTCTTCACCTAACATGACTGTATCATCTGCGTACTCTAGATCTGCTATGGATTCTCCTGTGACCAGGTCACTCCTTGCGAAATCAGACAACAAAAGGGGTCTCCATAAGTGGGATGAGTGGATATCCTTAATGGACACCACTTGACATACGAAACCCACCGTAGTCTCTAACATGCCCATGCGTGTTCGATTACAGAGCCTTCAAAAGAGTGATATACTTACTCGTGAGAGACTCTACGATAAAATCTCTCGATCGACGCAGTCAAATGTTGCCTGCAGGTCGAAAAATACAGCTAGTATCGGCCGTGGTAATGTGTCTGTGTTCCAGAACCTGGTGAGAGCGAGTATCTGGTCCATATACTTACCGCCAGATCTGAAACTTGCCTGGTTTCTTTTGAACCACCATCGGTTGAAGCAGCTCGGACATGTGCTGCGCATGTCAATTTACTGCCTATCTTAACGTGCCATGCTGAGGGAAGTCAAACTGGGTTGGAGGAAGGTTCAGGGTGGCCAGAATAAGACGTTACACCAGTCGATGAAGTCCTGACCGTTGGTCTGGACCATGTGGGGAGGTGTAGACTACCTGGGGTCCTTGAGACGATAGAAATAAGTGGCTAAGGACCCTTGGTGAAATCCCTGAAAATCCATTACAATGGCGCAAATGTATCCACTCTCTGGTGTCTTCTAAAGCTTGACTATTTGCACTAACCTATGTATTCAGATTGTTTATTCTTCCATACAACTTTGTCTACTTTAATATCACTTTTTCTACCCATCTTTTCTTTGTTACTATTGTAAGTATGACAACTTGAATCGATGCACTTGTTTGTGAAGTTCTACGTTGATTTTGTCTGTCTGATTTTCTCGGTTTGATTGTTGCCACGCTCCTCTTAGATACCTGATGTTTATAGAATCTAGAATATTAGACACTATATTCGTCTATCACTTCATCAGTTTCAGTCAGTCTACATCTATATCTCCCATCTCAATCAAAAAGTTCTTCTCAATTTATGAAAGTACGTTGCATACCTTGTCTTTTTCATAAACATTGTTTTCTGTAGGTTGTGAAGCAGCTGAAGAGACTTCAAAAACACGTGCATAAACTCTACTACTATCGTTCATCTTGGTTTATTCAAATTCTGAATCCTATGTCTTTATCGCGAGAGGATTTCCCCACTTTCGTGTGAACTGGGACAGTTGGAAGCAGTCAGAGGGGACCATATCTGACTCCTATTTACTAGCTAACACTTCAGATAACCTGACCAATAATCGTCGATCCTCGTCCTTGAGTATCTCCAGTGCTAGTCCACCAAGCCCTGATGCCTCTTCTGGCTTCATATGACTTGCACCTTTCTCGACTTCTGCAAGTGTTTGATGGGCTATTCAATGTTCCATTCGGAATCCGACTGGATAGAGTGGAACAGAATAGTTGCTGGAGTCCAGTCGAACTGTTCCTCGAAGTGTCCCATCCATCGTTCCAGTTGTCTGTCTTATAAAGGAATCGTAGACTCATCTTTCTTCTTACTAGCGGTTGGCTTTTCCGTTCCAGTTTCTGTGACAAGTCTAAGAGTTGTCTACCGTTACTTAACCCATCTACCTTATAAATCTCTGTAGTTTTCGGTACCCACTACTGTTCGCACTCATTGCGTTGACTTATTGACTTATTTCAGTTGCTCCTTCTCATTATCTTCGGAGCCTGCAGGAATGCGTTCGCATTCATCCACTAATTCAAAGAAGTTTCTGAGATCCACTGGGTCTTTTTAATCATTCTGAGAGTTGGTTACGGTCTTCAACACCGATTTTACTGCAGACTGTATATGACACTAGGCTTTTTCTGTCGTAATAACTGTTTAAGAAGTTTCTTTCTGGAGGTAGCCTTAGTATTCTGATTCGGGCTGCACTCTCAATAGCCGATTGCCGTAGTTTTCCGGCGTGCATTTAGGCACAGGTATGCATGATCGCCGTCCAAGCACGTGCTCCAGAAGGAGCTACAATCTTCCACCGATCCTCTCTAGTAACATGGTCTATTTGTCTGCTGTTGAGTTGATGGCGGTGCATACACCAGACAACGTCTCTCTTTAGGTCTAAAGTTCGTGCTAAGAGAATGAATATTTCTATTTGAGCACAGTTATTGTAGATGACTGTCGTTATCCGTTCGTTTGGCTGAGATTCCGAAAATATCACCTAAGTGCCTTTCCGTCTGATTTAGTCTACCCAATTGTGCATTGAAATCACCTGCAACAGCAGCTACACATGAATGTTCGGCTTTCAGGAGAAGGCTAGATAATTTTTTGTAGAAATCACCTCCACTTCACCCGATCTCCAGTCAGTGGGTGTGTAAGTGGAGATTACAAAGAGGTGTCGGCAGGTTTCTTCTGAGTTATCGCAGTGGAACACTGCGAAGGTGACTGTCTACTGGGATCTAGTGGAGGAGTGCACTTTCTGCCTCAGCGTTTAATGCTGCACCTGCAAAACCGTGAAAACTAGCCATCGAATTTCCGAAAACTAGAAGCGTGAGTTCACTCTATTGACCGGGTTAGGTTAAGTGAGTAGCCACACTTGGGTCCTGTATACATGTTTCGCAAACATGGCGCACGCTCATGGCTCGAGATGCCAGAGTTTTGTCTAGCGAAGTTTGTTAACCGTTTTGATGAAGTGTACTGATATTGAAAACCGTAATATGCAATTTCAAGTGCGGTTTCAGGATACTATTGATGCTGGTCTGTAAACTTATATTGTTATCAAGAGCTGCATCACCGAAGGAGATTGATGTAGCTATGTTGGCTGAGAAAAGCGTAGAAAGGTCAGAAGGTAAAAATGTGTAAGGTTGGCGATAATCTTTTGGAATTTGAGCAGTGACAATTATGAGGGTGATTGGTACTTTTGGGCTTCCCCTATCTCGAAAGGCTAGTTATTAAGACACTTGGAAATGAAGGGTTATTACATTATCGCACAGCCGGTGACATACAGCCATTTTAGAAGTTTGACGGTTTAGTTTTTTTTTCGAATCGGAGTATAAACCCATATCGCTGGCACCAGTATGCTGCGGGGTGGAAAGGAGTGTGGTATTTAGGGGATCGACCTCTAACCACCCTCCGTCTCGGATAGGGAAGGTGGAATCGGGATAGCACTGCTAGTCATCCGTAGTAAGCACCTTACGGCCATGACGCCCCTGACCAGTCAGCAGTATAACTTCGCCTTCAGACCCCCATCATAGCGTAGCGAATCACACCATAAGGGTAGCCGCCTTTTTCTTACCACTATCCAATATACCTTTCGTTTTAAAAGGGCTTACTGTAAATTATTATGAACACTTTGAGCGGAAAATCTCAATTGTTGCGAAGAAATGTTTCTGAAATCTAACGGACACAAATGGACGACAATGTGACTCGAAATTGTTACTACACTAGGTTAGTTCTATTTCCTCCCCAGAAGTAACTTTCAAGGCTTTTTGGATGTTGGTCTAGCGTACATGAACATGAACCTCCTAATCCCTGCTTTGGGATTGCATCGATCATTTCCCAGGCGAACAGATAAAAAAAGTATACCAAATTTCTTATCATGGTAGTAACGTGTACTAGTGTAATCTTAGTTATTAACTCAGACTGACTGTTTTGACCAATAAAGCAGCTTGTATGGGCAACGCAACGTAACATTTCCATGAATCCGTATATTTGATAAGACAGAACAGACTGCGTCGCATTATCCTGCAGTTTACTGCATATTCATAGAAATGAGTGAAACAGTCAGCGTGGAATCTTTAATCATCAACTGTAGTGAAAATTATTTACTAAATCTACAGTTAGTGTGCCTTCCTCTCCACCACTATTTCTACTTTCTAGAGAAAAGATTCCCATGGTACATAAAGTGATCTTGAATGCCGGTATCAGTTGCACCTTGTTGGCTACAAAATGGTTTATCTGCCTATTCGCTGATGTTTTACCAATTGAAGTAAGTAAGCCTTTTTTTACATTTTCAGTGAATATATTGTGCTTAAATTGGTCTTTGGTAAATCGAATAATTTGTGAAGATTTCTCATCACTAACTGAAATGTGTTATCATAGCATTATCGATCACTGACTGACATCAATTGGAGAGCTATCGAAAACCTGGGAGCTCTGAAGTGGTATTTCCTTCTTGTAGGGGACTCCTCAACAGTCAGCAACCCCAACCTAAAGTTCTGAATGGTTCTCCAAGCGATTTGAGTCCATGATGAATACTACCTTGAACTCAACCAATCCCCAGAAACCTCCAGATTGCAATCAGATAAATTGCCGAAAGGCTTTGTATTTGAAAATTGGACAGTGCATAGTGCAAAAATCTGATACCACACTGTGAAGTTATTTCATGATGTTATCCGTGACCGTATACCAAGTTAATGGATCATTTTAATCCCAGATATCTCTATTATTTGTTGTCCACTACTTGCTAGGGAATCTAGCCTAAAGTGATTGAAAAGTATTTCAGTCACCACTCTTTACACATTGTGTCAACTTATTTAGCTTCAAACTATAACAAAAGGTGTATGGGGGGACAAGCACCTTCATATACAAACTCTTCAAATTAAATGCAGGCAATATACTTTTATCTGGTGGTTTGTAGAAATTCATTAATTGATTTTAGGTAGGAATTCATCATGAACTGACATCAGTTAGAGGAACACTAGAAACCTGGAAGAACTGAACAGCTGTTTTATCCTGGTATGGGACTCCTCAGCAGTGCTGATACATGAACCCTGAACCTTCAGGTTCTCTAGCCAGCATATTGCCATTGAGCCAATGGGTCGGAATCCAATGGTCCACATTTCCTACATCTGTCAGTTCACGATATAGCTCGACCTACATCCAATGTCATCGTTGAGTAACGTGCTGGCCACGAAACCCGAAGGTCCCGGGTTCGACCTCTGACGTGGTTATAGGTGCGCACCGCTGAGGAGTCCCATAGTAGGAAGAAACAGCTGTCCAGTGCTTCCAGGTTTCTAGTTTCCACGCAACTGATATCATTCCAAGATGAATTCCAACGTAAAATCAATATACTTTTGTTTGTTACACATTCTACAAACGATGTCCAGCAGAAATCTCACCATAAATGAAGAACTTAGCACTAGGACTAGGGTACATGAAATTGGCTATTCTCTAGTGACCAACTAATGTATCTAATTTAATCCTACAGAAGGTCAGTCGCGATCCTAATGGCTTAATGGTAGCGTCTCTGACTATAGCATTGGGTAACATGGCTTCAAATATCAGACGATATATCAGTTCCGTCGAGGTTCCAAATACACCTTGCTGATGAGTGTCAACAAGCATAAAACGTACATTGCTAAATGGTCGATAGAATTCGATCATCACTTAGGCAAAAATATGTTTCCAATTAATTCTCAGATTTTACAGTTATCCATCCAGACAGATGTCACATTCAATGACTTGACTACTACTTACGTCATTCAGACAGTGGATACTATAGAGATGAATCCTTCAAACTGATAAACTTCGTTTGGCATTGAACTACATCGCACATTGTCCGTATACTGCGACCTCTGTTAGGCAGAGATGACGCGTAAGATAACCAAAGGTAAAAATTATATAAATCATGCAAATAAGCGCTATTCAGCACAAAATCTTTTTTCAGGAATTCCTAGGGATTAACATCAACTCCATCTCTCCCCCTGCGCTCTGCCAACGTCGAAAACCCACTAGATGTCATCGAGTTTTTGAACGCTCAGCGATTAAATTCTACACCTTTGTGAACACTGTGATTCAGTATATATTACAACAACTATTTGTACTAGATAACAATCAACGCTTCTTCCAAAGGGTTGAACTACTGCCGCGTTATCCATTGTTTTGTCACTTTCTTCCCTTGTTCATGTGCATGCTGACAGCATCAACCGAAACACAATCACACCATGTTCCATCCTGTTGATATCCATCTCTCCTTCAACAGAAACGCTAAGTCAATCATGATAACAAACAGCCAAAAATCTCAACAATCCTCAACCCTACATTACTCTTCAAATTATTTAACTGTGTTTCGCACAAATTCCACAATCTCTCAACTTCCATAAACCAAATTCAGTGAAGCGAACAAAGGCGTGGCGAAAATCACATTGAGAAGGCATAAACATCGACACATTCCATGATTATCTTGAATATTGTAGAATAATGTTGACTGTCTTGATGAATTTTTGGGGGATAGTGGAAGTAATCACCATCATCTCTTCAAAGGATAGCTTTAATTCAACGAAGTTGATCAACCACACATAGATGGATGCCTCGATATTCACTAACAATTTTACCTTCATGATTTCATCACTACTGTTTATTGTAAACAACTTTTCGTGCATATGTGAATGGTCCACTTGATAGACACTCACAAAAATGACTAGTACATACATACACACACGCACACACCTATACATTAATGAAAAACAATTTTCTGCATTTATTGACAGTTTAGACAATGTTGGATGGCGAACTTCACACTTCCACAAAATTATATAATCTTATTAGACGTAATGAGTATCCGAAAAACAAGATTTTCAACTATTATTTAACAATAACAAGTGGTAATTTAACTCAAAGCCTCATTGAGACATGAGATAAATAAGCAGACTACAACCAGTTACCATCATGATTTCGAATCCTCATTTCACAATGAATAGACGTTGCCCACTATCCAGCCAGAGCCTGAATGGAACTTCGAGATAGGACCCCGAACACTTGCAGAACCTCAGAAGGCTGTAGATAACCTGAAACAAGGGAGAGCAGCAGCAAGGTCAGATGGACTAGATTCAGAGGTATTTAAGGACGGTGGTTAAGAATTTCTAATAAAGTTAGCTAAAGTGTTCACTACTGTGTGGGAGTTAGATACGATCCCCTCTGACTGGTCTCAGTGAATGACTGTCTCAGTTTTCAAGCGAGATGTGGAGTCCTCCTGTGGTACCCATAGGGGAATCAGTCTGAGACATATGATGTCTGGGATTGCAGGTTTTATTAGTGGGACTCACGAACAGGAACCCGAGGAAACCAGGTAGACTTCAGACTTGGTTTTAGGTGTATGCGTCTCCAGGTTCTTGAACATAAGAACACTTACCGACACCTGACAATAGCTGTATTTGTGGACCTGAAGGTGAGATTCGACTCCATCGATAGAGAATTTCTATGGCACTATGGTACTAAGTACGTCACCCTATTGAAGGTTCTTTAATCGGAAACCAATGGGCATATTGGAGCCTATAGTGAACTGTTTACATCCAGTCATGACTGTCAAGGATGCCCACTTTCTCCGTTCCTGTCCAATTTTGTCATGATCGTATTTATAGAGGTGTCTGGTCATCTGGTCACAGGAAAGTTCTTGGTAGATCTAGAGTACGCAAACTACGTGGTCATGTTAAGCAAAGACGCTGACAAGATCTACAATCTTCTAAACCCATTGAGTGGCGATTTAAGAATGTTTGGGATGCATTTCTCGCCACCTAAATGGAAATTATTGCTTCATGACTGGTCTTCAACTGTACACCAACCAACAAAAGAGAGTGAAGTGGTTGATCGCGTTAAACATTTCACTTACCTGGGAAGTCGGATCAGCTCTGGTGCACTGGTCAGTGGTCGACGAAATCTCTGCATGGATACAAAAAGGTAGGTCGGCTTTTGACAACTTATGCCATCTGTGGGCGCGCCACAACAGTCGATTGTTTATTAAAGGTAGAGTGTACTGGGCTACACTCCGTTCTGTTCTACTGTGTGACTGTGAAAGATGACCAATAAAGATAGAAGAGATAAGAAAGTTTCAGGTGTTTGATCACCACTGCCTTTGTAACATAGATCATGTTATGTGGTGAGACGTAGAGTTTTAGGGAGGAGAGGTGAGACAGTTGATATTGTTGTGAACCTTCATCGACTGAGATGCTTGTCTGGCATATGTGTTTCGCATGCCTAGCCACTGTCTGCTTCTTCACACAATGTTGGCCGAAGTAGATTCAAGCTGGAAAAAGCTCTGGGCTCTCGGCTAGCCTAAAACATGGCATCAATGCATGAAGTCCTTGAGTGTTCTTTTGAGCCATGCAGAGCTATGCAGACTAGCCGGTTGGAGTCCACAGGACAAGAGAAACCAGTTGTTGGAGACTCTAGGTGGTATGACTCAGAATCGATGTCAGTAGGGCAGATGCATACATACATTATCTTCATCTTAATCTCATCATTTCCTCAGTCCTCCCTTTTATCTTTTACTGCTTTCTACTGCTTTGACCAGTTTTTTTCCCTTCTTCATCTCCCATTTTATTGCCTTGTTACTTGGTGTGCTGATATGAGGTGTCCCAACTTGGACCGTTACGCAGCACTTCCTGGTCCTATGTTGTTATTAATTGACTGAATAAATAGGATACATTTCATAAATTAACAGCTTAGTGTACGATGTGTTTTTTAAAATTTATAATTTTTGTCAGAATATCTGAGAATATAGGTCGAAGATGACCCTGAAGTTCCCGCCACTATGGGTCTATCTATTCACAGAACACAACGTCACCTCAAAACTGTTATTTCAAGTGACCGATAAGAAATTACGGAGAGTAAGAAAGGCAAACAGATTAGTAATACACCTCAGCAACTTCTACATCCTCCACAGCTGGTATTCTGCAAAAGGTGTTCACCAGCATGAATTACTGGAATAAACAGATATAAGAAATCACAAAGGAACTGACATTACTAAGTAACCATTCAAGTTGCCACACTTCATACCAGTCTATGCAGAGAGAATGTACTAGGATGAACGGTAAAGAAAATACAGAAGAATCGGTCAAAATTAGAAGTAGTAAAAGAGAGGAGGTGGCTATCAGGCCTCAGTGGCCTAGTGGATAACGCCTCGGGGTTTGAAGCGATGGGTACGAAGTTCGAGTCTCAGTGGGAACAATATCACTCACTGGGATGCAGGTACATCCAGCTGATGAGTCCGAAACAAGACGAGACGCGTGCCCTAGATTCGTCTGCTAGCCACGCTCAACTGATTCATGAAAAAGAGGACGGTTCCTGTTATTACGCGGACACCAATCAGGAAGTCTGCATCTCTCTAAATAGCTCACACCAATAGTCAATGACTACATCCGATGATGTCATGTTTTAGTCTGAGCACCACTGACCTTTTGCCAAACTGAAGCTACTTTAGCTAACAATGTGTAAGAGAGCAAAGAGTGACTAAGCGTGAATTAAACATGTCCCGGAAACCTCAGTCAATGAAATTTCGCAGCCCACGTTCCTGATATGGTGTATGCTATGAAGGCTAAGGCTGTCGTACACATGAAGTCTTCTCATAACCTCCACCTTTAATGCCTATGCTTCACAAAAATATAGTAGAACAGAGCGGACTACAGCGGAAGGCCCTCAAGCCTTGACCGGCAATCAGATATCACTCCAGTGCCACAGATGATGTAGGTTGCTGAAGAGCAGTTGAGCTTTATGTAGTGGTAAAGAGATTTTGTCGGTCATTGACGCACCAGAGTTGATCCCACATTCTATGTAACAAAAGTGGTCAACGTGTTCAACCACTTCACTTCATACTATCCAAATGAGCATGCTGATATGAAGCTAGCTGATTTCTCAACAGGATATGCAGTGCACTAGTTGGCAATGTTTGGCTTCAGGGAAATTTATAACTTCTTTGAAAACCTAGGCGAAATATATGTGGAGCTGTAGTTCACTGACTGAAAAGAGTTGACTTTCGACCAGCAGGTCACACGTTCGAGTCCCGTGCCACCTACCGAGGTTTGCGCAGCTTTGTAGTAGTATCATTAACCCTTAAACGATAGATATGCATCATTGCCACCTACTGCCAGAATGTGCACAACGTTGCTGAGTGGATTTCGTTTAGGGAAAAAATACCACATGTCCTAATATTTACGCATCTATGGATCGTGTATTGAAAAACTGGTGTATGGTAGAACAATAATGGAGGAGGAAAATGCCTTATCTGCTGAAAGATGAAGGTAATTACTTCCACTGTCCCCCAAACTTTCATCAAGGCAGTCAATATTACTCTCCAATATTCGAGATAATCATGGAATGTGTCATTGTTTATCCTTCCGCAATGTGGTTAGCTCTGCGCTCCTGTTTATTGCAATAAACTCGGTTTTATGGTAGTCGAAAGATTGCGCAGTTTGTGCGAAATATAGTTAAATCATTTGAAGAGTAGTATAGAGTTGAGGATAGTCAAGATCTTCAGCTGCCTGTGAGCATGGTTGACTTAGTGTTTCTCATGGAAGACAGAGCGACGTCAACAGACTGACTCCTCCACGGATACCACAGGAGGACTCCACATCTCGCTTGAAAACTGAGACAGTCATTCACTGAGACCAGTCAGAGGGGATCGTATCTAACTCCCACACAGTAGTGAACACTTTAGCTAACTTTATTAGAAATTCTTAACCACCGTCCTTAAATACCTCTGAATCTAGTCCATCTGACCTTGCTGCTGCTCTCCCTTGTTTCAGGTTCCTTCTGAGGTTCTGCAAGTGTTCGGGGTCCTATCTCGAAGTTCCATTCAGGCTCTGGCTGGATAGTGGGCAACGTCTATTCATTGTGAAATGAGGATTCGAAATCATGATGGTAACTGGTTGTAGTCTGCTTATTTATCTCATGTCTCAATGAGGCTTTGAGTTAAATTACCACTTGTTATTGTTAAATAATAGTTGAAAATCTTGTTTTTCGGATACTCATTACGTCTAATAAGATTATATAATTTTGTGGAAGTGTGAAGTTCGCCATCCAACATTGTCTAAACTGTCAATAAATGCAGAAAATTGTTTTTCATTAGTGTATAGGTGTGTGCGTGTGTGTATGTATGTACTAGTCATTTTTGTGAGTGTCTATCAAGTGGACCATTCACATATGCACGAAAAGTTGTTTACAATAAACAGTAGTGATGAAATCATGAAGGTAAAATTGTTAGTGAATATCGAGGCATCCATCTATGTGTGGTTGATCAACTTCGTTGAATTAAAGCTATCCTTTGAAGAGATGATGGTGATTACTTCCACTATCCCCCAAAAATTCATCAAGACAGTCAACATTATTCTACAATATTCAAGATAATCATGGAATGTGTCGATGTTTATGCCTTCTCAATGTGATTTTCGCCACGCCTTTGTTCGCTTCACTGAATTTGGTTTATGGAAGTTGAGAGATTGTGGAATTTGTGCGAAACACAGTTAAATAATTTGAAGAGTAATGTAGGGTTGAGGATTGTTGAGATTTTTGGCTGTTTGTTATCATGATTGACTTAGCGTTTCTGTTGAAGGAGAGATGGATATCAACAGGATGGAACATGGTGTGATTGTGTTTCGGTTGATGCTGTCACCGTGCATATCACAGCTGGAAGGAGGTGCGTAATAAGCTTTATAAAAGAGTTGATCCTAGCCTTCCTTTTTGTATTGTCTTATTCTTTGTTAGCGTTCGTTCTCCTAACTAGCTATTTAAGAAAGCTGCGTGGTGTTGCCGACTGTGTCGGTACATTGGCCATAGGTTAAGCTTGTACTTCACCTGTTGTGATCTCGACAGGTAGTTGGTATCAGTATTTTGTTCATCATGTTTATAAATTTTTAAGTGGTCACTGTTTTGATCCTAGGTGATGATTGAAGGTGAAATGAAATTGTGTACCATGACAGGATTCCAACCAACAACCTCCTGGGTACCGAGTCAATGGCTCTACCATCCAGGCTTCAGGACCTACCATCAGAACCGATCTTATTTTCGCGTCAGTCAACAATATGTCTAACTAAATAACCTAATATTATTATCATTATTGTTTATGAACTCAATTACATTGCTGTCACTCTTCTCTGCCCCTCTTCCTTGCATATTATAGACTACTATTCGCATATTCGACTGCTTATTCTACGAAGGTGATAAGGTTCTTTTTCGTGTATGCCTTTCATTGGTCAAATTACATTATAAAGATTTAATAGAATGCAAGGAATTCCCTGTTCTCATCACAGCCTTTCGCAATATGTGCAAAGATAAACAAACTCTATATTGTCATCAATTTGTTGAGGTGAGTGAAGACTTTTTTTCCGTTTTCCTAATTTTTGTACAATTTTATCGATTGCTTGAAAAGTCTACATTATTTGAATCCTAACCTGTATTAAGTCACCTCACGAGTCCATCCATCCATCTATCTAAATTAACATAAGACCAGGCTTTACCGCGTAACGGTCCGAGTTGCCACAGCTCATGTCAGTACATCAAGTAGAAAGGTAGTGAGGTGATAGATGAAGAAAAGAAAATTCAGTCAAAAGAAATATAAAGTACGAAAAGAGAGAAGTGAAGAATGAGAAAGTGGTGAGATTCGATATAGCATTAAGATGAGGATAATATGTGTATGCATCTGCGCCACTGACATCGGTTCTCAGCCATATCACCTAGAGTCACCAACCACTGGTTGCTCTTGTCCCATGGACCCCGACCGGCTAGTCTGCATCGTCCTACATGGCTTAAACCAACAGTCAGGGACTTCATACATTGGTGCCATGTTTTAGTCTGGCCTCCTCAGGCCTTTTCCCAGCCTGAATCTGCTTCGCCCAACATTGTGTGGTGAGGTAGAGGGTGGCTAGATGAAGGTTCACAACCCCATCAAGTGATTTATCTCTTCTCCCGGCTGATAGCTGCTACGTTGACGTGGTGGTTGGGCTTACGTATCACAATGACCCAACGAATTATGCTGGTGGAACACTTGTTCCTCGAGGTCCTATCATACCAGAAAGGTCTGCTGGATAGAGGTTACACAAAAAGCAGTTACTGTTGTAGTGTAAATTACTACACTATGATGGGGGTCTGAGGGCGAAGTCGTACTGCTGCTTGCTGGATGGGGTGTTACAGCAGTAAGATGTTTCCCTTGAATGACCAGCAGTGCCATATTGATGCTGCCTTCTCAGTGGAAGGGCGGTAGAAATGGTCGGCCCCAAAATAACACTCCACTATGCCCTACGGTCTGCCGGGCCGGCAGTGTTGGTTCATTTGTCGCTTCTTTTCGACCATCCGGCCCCAAATCAACAGAAAATTAAAATACTCACGCACAAAAGGCTGAGTGTGATAGGCCTCAAGCAGATATCCGATGGGCTCTGCGGTCATACAGATCTCTTTCAGGTATCTTTAGAAGCAATAGCCTTCCACGGTGTGGGCAGCCGAGAAGTGCCAACCGCCTTCACAACTTTGTCAGCACTCAAATTTCTTCAAACCGCTATCCACCTAACGAGGGCTGACCACCACCACCGCCAATCGGTCCAGAGGATGCACCTTTATGAACTCTTCATCTTCTTTTGATCTTTGATGGTGGCATTTTGATTGACGATTGTCGTTTCCTCGAGAAATCTGCTTTGCCTGACTGATTCCTATGTCTTTCTTTAATTAGGTTTTGATTTTTTCAACATGAACATTTAAACTGCCACGAAAGTGCATCACACCAAGTTTTTCTACATCATAGTCGCATACAAAGAACAAGTGGCAAGAAAAAGAGTAATACTAAGGTAGATGCGAGAGATAATTTTAAAAAATGAACGTTATTAGAAAAGGTTTCAACTTTCGGTGTCAGTGAGTACACATATGCACACTATTGTGACCGATTTTGACATATATCACTAAGAGTCTATAACTGTTTATTTCTGTCTCTTAGCCGCCAGAAACCCGGTGGTCGATGGTTCGAATTCGGCCGTGGTTCAAATTTCCATTTCACCTTCAATCATCAACCGGTAGAAATACTAGTCTGTCAAGCCACAGCTATCTCAAATAGTCAGAATGACGGTATTATTAACCTGGTGTTCTAAGTGTCCTAGAATAAGTTGGACCAATGGGTAGGAATCCTCATAAGATCACGGTAAATACGATCGCCATTTAGTGGGTTAAAAAGTATGGTAGTTAAATACAGTGCAAAGTAATTTATTGATACTTGTAATTTCCCATTTTTATACTGTATCGAATTACTCATGCTTAAGTGGCTAAGTGGATAACGCTTTGCCGTTTGAAGCGATGGGTGCTAAGTTGGAGTTTCACTTGGATCCAGCTGACGAGTCCAAAATAGGACAAAACACGCATCTTGGATTCCGTGGCTAACCACCAAGTAAACTTTAATAGTGTCAAGTATGATCCACAATGTAGTAAAGGTTAAAACAGTCCTCTATGAATCTTACATCTTTCATTAAAGGAGAAGAATCTCTAAAAAAGTAACCTCTATACTGCAAAGAACTGAGTTTACCATTGAAACATAAAAAATAATACTTAAGGTGCAACCGAAAAAGTGTTCATCCTTGGAACCTTGTCAGCCTTGTTTGCATTCTTGGTGGTTTTAATCACTTGTGTGCATTGATCTGTTCATCTCTCTTGCTTACACACACAATTGCACACATATACATACAGCGTGAACACTGTGTAATGTCAAATGTTCAGTGAAAAAGTCTCTGTTATCCGGAACAACATTAATGGCATTAGTGCAATACTTTTCAACTCTAACCTGCTAGGCTAATCAACTCAGTGTAACTGTGCTTATGACCTGTTTAGCCCGGAAGTTTGTTCATTTTACATATGAAAATGAAATCATTGCTTCGATACATTTTCTTGATGTGCTAATAACAAGAAAAGATGACTCTATCCTGAGAAGTATGTATAGGAAACTAACGTCTAAGGCTCAGTATACGCACTTTCTCAGCTTCATACTGATGAAGTACAAAAGTAATATAATCAAGCGCCTGGCATTTAGAATAAGGTAGATTTGTTCCAAGGTGTGTGTGGAGAAAGAACTACTGTGTATCCGTGATATTCTAAGTGAAAACAAATATCCGGATAAATTCATGGAAGCTAACACCAACTACATTGGTCGTAAACAAGAACTAATGACAGTGGAGAAGAAGCCTTTGTTTCTGCGCTTACTAGTGATATTCTGTCACAACACCTAACTAGAGCAGTCAATAGGACGTTTTATGCAGGCCGGCTTTGCATGTCATTCAGTAGTCGACCAATGCTCAGTACCAGACAAAATGGTAGCCTACCTAATCTTAGCTCTTCATCTTACGTATATTAACTGTTCCTGTGGAACTAGTTACACAAGGCGTACGATTAGGCAAATGCGTCTCCCAATTCGAGGGCTAAGTGAAAGTGGTGAAAAGTTCAATCCTAGCGTATCTAGTCAACACAGATCATCACATAGATGTTAATAAAGCTTTCAATATCATTCATCGTATTCCAAAAATGATACCACATGTAGCTCCTCAACGCCTGCTCGACATAGTGGAGGCTGTCATAATAAGACTGATCAAGCCTGAAGTCTGTATTCAGAAAGAACATATCCAAGCGTTACTTCTCTCTTAGCCTTCAGCTAACTAAAGGCCACTCCTGACTTTTTATTCGTTATCTTTTTGTTCACCATCATATCATTCTTCTGTATATATGTATAATCTTAATACTGACAAACGGAAAATGCAAAATCGTTTTCCTTACAGTCCCAACTCGCATTCCATCGTGAAAATATAATTGCCCCTAACTCGTACTGAACAAATGCACTTTATAATTGTAGAACCTGATGAGAATTTATTGAGAAGAATATCCTTCGTTCAGATTGTTGCTTTTCTATCAACATGATAAGAATCTTACAAGTCTATCTCGTGTACAATATTTTCAAAGTGAAATATCATAGAAGTTAAATAATGTTAATAATAACAGTATGATGAACAGTAATGCACAACAACTAGTAGTTTTTAAGTCATCGTCTAGTTTGTATATTGTTACAAGTGAGTCGGATAGAAAAGCACTTACAAGTTTGCCGGTGATCGAGATTCATTCACCTGGTCTGAAAATTTCCTCTTTCGACTACTTGTTGATGTAATACCTACATGATACATTGTCATGCATTCAGTAGCCAACTGTTGTCTACTATGATATTTTCTCGTAGTCTTGTTGTTAACCCGTCTAACGATTGGTACATTTTAAGAGTGTTTGACAGTATGCTTTACGTTTAGTCGACCTTTGAATGGTTAAAACAAGCAGAATAAAAGGGCTCAATTCGATGAAATATTTTAAGCAGGCCCCCAGTTGGAAGTTGAGTGACGGTAATGTTTCATGGCTCATTAAATCGATTGAGAAAAGGTCGAAAACTCAGGATAGGAGGCGAATGAGTAAATGAACATGGTATGATTTCATTTAAAAGTAGTTTAATGAAGATTATGTAAAAGAAGAGACGTGAATGTTAGTGACCTGATAGAGATCCAGAGAAGTGAGGAAAATGATAAGTGACGAGATGAAATGGATTTCAATAGAACAGACATAAATATAAGGAAAAGTTAGTTATGAGGAAAATATGATCACAACGGTAACCCGAGTCTAGTCTAGTTCACACACTTCTGGGTTAAGACTCTGTATCCCCAAGGCTGCAGCTATGCTAAGTAGGCGTATTCATACACCTTTCAGACAGTCTGATTCGACCCTGTAAATCATGTCAAATAACGATTCGGAGGCTGTGTGGTGTTTATTCACTACATATATGTTGGAGGATTGATGAATTTATGCCTCTAAGCTCCCCTTTACTCAGCCATCCTAGGAGGATGTGCTCTCAAATGCGATGGCAAATATTTCTCGATGGATGTCCTGTATACCCAGCCCCAAATACTAGGTGCACATCAAATTAGACACCCGATATAGTATTTATTTAACACCAAGATTAACCTAGAGACGGCTGGAATAGGTTACTCCTAGGAGCGTATGGGATACAATTTGCCTTTATTAGGCGATTCTTAAGAATTTCGTTCACATTGTCAAGTCTAAATTCTGAATTACTGACGATCTCCTTTTTTGGCACAATGGCTTTGCTCAAATGTTTTTTGATTTGTCCACTGTTACACTCTATAAAACCTGATGGATACTCGTTTTTGGTTCAACTAAACTTCAGTGGTGTGAAACCTTGGGGACAACCAATCAGGTTGGAGGCGATTTGACCAAGATATTCGTCCCATCCATTTACCAAGTTATTGACGCTGTGTAAACCGGTGAAATGTGTCGAAGATTACGTTG